TGAACTTTTCAACTTTGGAAAGAAAGTTTTTACGAGTTTGCACTGCTTCATACAGAGCTTTAAGACAGGCATTTTGAAACAGCACAAAAACTTCAAGGTTTTTTCCGCCTACTCCGTAAAAATTGCTTGTTTATAGCTACTGAAATCTAACGAAAGCTATATGCTACAGTTTTTATTAGATATGTAGGACGAGGTTAACAGGAAAAAAGTTGTTATCTTGCAAAGAAAGCAGAATTTAAGTTTAATTTATCAGCATTCTTTCAGGAACACTTTGATAAAAGCTTTCAGAGTAAAGCGCGCTAAAATCTTTCAATATACTTCAAGTTTCGTTCTAATATTGTATTAATTCTTGCTTGGCACCTTTTTTTGCCCTCTCGATTCCTATAGGCTCTTTGAAAAAATTAGCCACGAAAAAATATGCAGAAAGATCTGTTTATTAGCCAACAAATACAAAGAGTTGTTGCTGGGAACTTTTTGATCTCTATTTCTGACTGCAAATCAGTTTTCATACGCATTTTCGGAAAGGAGCCGTGCAGTGAACTAACCTTCAAAAGAAAGGCTGAAAGAGTTGCTTTGGAGAGCAGAGAATAAATTAGCAATGAATCGACATTCACACATTCTTAAGCCACAGCGGGTAATACTTGACAAATAAAGTCAATTTCATCTTGTTTTTTGTGCGAACACCGAAAATTTGGCGTTAGAAAAGCCATGCGCTGCAATTCTTCTCCTTTGCAAGTTGCTCCCGATCTCAACCCAATTCATCTTGCAAGCTAGTAGCTACCTGTTACTTGATTGTTGAGGTACTGGTTTCATGCTTTAAGATCTGTATCATTTTCTCAATGTAAGCATCACTTTTGAACAACGTTTGATTGAACGTTCTACAGCAATTTCCGAATGAACAAAAAATTTGTTTGTCTTGAAAACGACTAAATTCATGCATATGTTCAATTCTTAATTTTCAAAAAAATACTACTTGGCAGTACAGAAGGTGGGTTAGAAGTATCGTTCCTTTCTGCAATGACCGCTGAAATAATTGCTGAAAAAGCGAAAAGTGAAGTGAGTGAGTCATTTGGTGGCTTTTGATGCGGGGAATATCTAAAACTTTTTGGTGTAGCAAAAAAGTGTTGTAATGGTTTGAGATATTTACCAGAATTAGAGGGAACAACCGTGGGAAAAGTATGTGGAGGAGTTAAAGAGCATGCAAGATCCTCTATGCCACGTCAAGCTTAAAACTTAAGCCTTATCTGGCTTGAAATTATGCTGGTCGTATGTGACACGTCTATACCAAGCTCCTAAATAGACGTTTAAATGCCCTTTTTCTTTAGTGTTTTAGGACTTAAATTTAAATCAATGTTATAATCTTAATGATTGATAACTGTTTAAATAGATATATTTTTTCTATAATTCATTACTTTAACTACAAATGTTGGGTTTGATTTGGAGTGAAGACTACTTGACTTGTTCTTATCTAGAATTATTTAGAAGAAAAAATGCGACTCACTGTTACAACGAAGTGCTCGCGACATTTTTTTGGAGGAACAAGCGGCAGCTGCTGCGGATAAGAAGAAATCCAAAAAACAGTCATGCTACAAAGAAGCTCGTAAATTGAAAACTCAGTGCTCACAGCTGGCTCGATGTTGCAGTATTAGCAAGCTGTAATTTATTATTACTATGTACTAATCAAGAACAGAATTCTAATAAGTGTTTATTTAGTACCCTTATGACTCTCGCTTTTTTAGTTTTAAGGGAAAATCATTAGTTAGGCAAAACAATTAACTATCGTTTCCGCACCGATAAAACAGCTCACGGGATAAATTGAAGACTTACCTGAGTTCTGAAATTTTAGTTGTCGTGATACATCTGCTATCGATCAAAAAATTCGAGAGAAACGGGAACAAATTCGTAAGTCATTGCGAAAATGTAAAAAGGAAAAGCGCCGGCGCAAGAAGGATCGGAAACACCATGGCGGTAAAAAGGATCAATTTGCGTCAACTCTTGAAATGCACTTAATCTAATTAAGCATCTACTTTTCTGTAAAAAGTAAAGTGTGAATCCAGCGTTCCGTTCGCCCGTTTTAGCCGAAACTGAGTCTCTTTTGTTTCTTCTTGCTGCTTAAAATATTTTCTTTGATTTAATTAAGGGTGGGAAAGCTCCCTAAGCAATTTGTTCACTTCTAAATTAGATGAGTAAACTGTCTTCCGTCGGTTAACAAGTAAAAACTTGACTCTACATTTACTAAAGATCTTTTCAACAGTTGAGGTGTTGCCTACTTAAAATCGCAAAACACGTTTTAAGGGGCGACAAAGTATTCTAACATTTCTTACTGACAATAAGTAGACGTTATTTTAGCTGCTTTTTTTAAATTGGCAGGATAGCTAAAAGCAAAAATTTCAAATAAGGAAGAAAATGTACACAAAACTAACCACTAATTAATTGTTTACCGATCACGATTGTTTCTGCTTCGTGCCCACCGTTTACTTTTGTAATTTTTTCGGCAGTGATAATAGCTTTAAATAATGTGATGAAATAAAATTTTGCAAAAGCAACAAACAATAGAACAGCAAGAGCAGAAAATTGATCATTAAAGCCTAGCTTTCTAAAGTTGATTGGTACTTGATTAAGACCGGTCTGACATCGGCTTGACAAAGGTTTTTCAATTTTAGATTTGAAGCTTTTGTCTGCAAGGTTCATTCATGGCAACTGTCAGGTGAGTGGCAGTAAACGGCATATTGAAAAAAATATGTGCTTCCCAAAGCAATAATTGATTATATACCTTAGATGCCTTTTAAACTGTAGTATTGAATTGGACTTGCAATTAACTTACAAAAGATAAAGTTTATTTGGAAAGAACTATTCTCTCCCAACTAACACAATTTGGAGAAGGGTTACTGTGTGTACTTTCTTCGCCTTGTAATTTACTGCTGCTGCGATTGGCTCTGCACTTAGAAATTTTCTGAGGACCAATAGTCACTAATTTCGAGTCACTCAAAGAAAAATAACAGGTTTATTATTTGAGAATATTGTTCACGAGGCATGCAAAAACATTGGTATCAGCTTGACGGTTTCTGAAGCAGGTAGGAGCTGTCACATGTAAGACACATTTTAAATCTGAAATTTGCATTTTTGCAGGTCATCTAGCTTCATTGGAAGAAAAATTTGAACCAGAGGGTTTTATTTGAGAGAACATAATTTCCACACTTTTCAATAAAGAGCTTTTTAAACATCAAGCTCTCTGTATTTGGGCTGATAGTCATTGTTGTTGTTCTCCTCATTTCTCTAAACAGCAGCTTTGGCAAATATTAATGTCGTTTTTCAAATAGTTTCTCGTTTTTAATAATCCCCAAAGTTGAGTTTTTTTTCCTTCCGTCCAACAAAGATCAAGAGAAGTTGATTTCTGTAAGTTGGAGGAAGGGACAACTTGCTTTTTTTTTTTTTTTTTTCACTTTATTGATCCTCCCCTACACTATTCCCCTCAACTTCTATTAATTCTTTTTTTTTTTT